GCGTGCGTGCGTGCGTGCGTGCGTGGGCGCGCGTACACATTTTCAGAAAAATCATCATAGGTGAAATTTAGTAGTGTGTTGAAATGTTTGTAAGAAATGGAGGTTGTTCTTATCAAAATTATCCGTATCATTAAGAAAGGTCTGTGCAATATAAAAGTCAAACCAAACAGTCCAACAATTTGCACCGAGAAAAATTTATCTTTACTTCATGAAGCTTTAAAGTCGATGAATCTAAACATAGATAACCTTTTTTTATCACTTTTATCTACCTCGATTTGTCCCTTTTGCTAGACGAATTATATTAGTTTAATTTGTTTTCTCTCATGATATGTGATTGGAAGGGCTACAACATGCACCAAACGCTATAGGCCTACTTATTATGGTGATTTCTCTTAGTTAACACTGCCATAAAGTGGCTTTTCGACAAAATTTAGAGTAATGAATACATCTAAAAAATGAATGGTAGTTATGCAATGAAAATCGATGTTAATGTCTTTGAGTCATATAAATTAACATCATGGCTCCCAAGTTTTACTAGAGAGAGAGAGAGAGAGAGAGAGAGAGAGAGAGAGAGAGAGAGACAGAGACAGAGACAGAGAGGGGGGGGCGCATGTCCGGGAGAGTTAAGCAGGAAATGAGGGAAAGTGGAGCGAGGGTGAGTGGTGAGTGCCCTTCCGTGTGGTTGTAAGCACAGGCCGATACACCCACCCCACATCCCACACACTGACATACGAATTCAGTCCGGGCCATCCACAGCTTTCTTCCAAGAAGAGGCAAAAGCACAATTTGGGTGATTCCTTCAATGCAAAGATTGTTGTTTTCGTAAAGAGCTTCACTGTACTTGCAACACAATAAGGTCATATAAGTGCCGAAGATTAGATGTGATACAAGAGAGTAACAAACACAAAAAAGGAGGAGGAGAGATCAGGACGATAGATGTCTGACTGACCCCATCCCCCACCCTAGATCTATATGATAGAAAACATTTTGGTTTTAGTAAGAGTTATCCGGCACTTCCAACACAATAAGGTCATATAAGTGCAGAAGATCAGAGTATAGTATAGCATAGTATAAGGTTTTACGGCGCTCGCAACTGCTAAGGTCATATGAGCAGAGGTCTTACAATAGAGTAACAAACACAAAAAAGAAGGAGGGGAGATGTTTGATAGGAAAAAAGGAACA